AAGAAACAGTCAAGTTTGAAATAATGGATTGATATTTTTTCAAGTTAACTGTTTACTTTATGGTTCTTAGATTTTAGTGAGATATTTTGTGTTCAAATACATTCGATTGTCCCCTCTCGTGTTCTTGTTCACTACAATAGAAGTATAAATAAAGCTTCGAGGTATAATATATCTGATTCCTAATATTATCCCAGCTGTTCATGTATCATTTGATGGGAACTGTTTTTAAAAGTGATTTAAAAACTGATTTGAAGTGAATATGATATTTATTAATGAAAATATAGATGAGACTATAATTTATGGACGACATTTGAACGACGTTAAACTGACCTTGAAAGTGTCCACGTAGTAACTAGGACCAAATGAGGGTTATAAATTAGTGTGAGGAATTAAAATTACGATTAACAATTGATGATTAGAGTTAGATATTATATTTCGGCTATAATGCCAAAACTCTATATATTCGAATAAATGAGTGAATTTCACGCCAAAATCCAAGACCTGTTAGCTCATACCTGATTGGTTCGTCCATAAACTATAGTCTCGCCGAAATATACTTACGATACGATACTTTCTTCAGTAGTTTGTACTTTACCGAGGATCTTTGTATCTCGAAAATTTTCCTTTTTCTCATCATTTTACACATAGATTTAAAAGGTGATATATAAGTGATAGATATAAGAACAAAATAATCACCTTAATGTCCTTTTCTAAAAGAAAATGTTTTGTATTATAGATAAGAATCTGAAATTCTTCATTATATCAGAGATAAAGGTGAAATAATTAACTACTTCTAAAATGTTAGATAATCTGGATTTTTTTCAAATTTACTTTTTTTAGTAGTTGCGTGAATTGAAGCTAGACTATCAAGGAAAACCTGGAAACATTGGATAGCCATTTCATCCTATTGTGGGACTCCTCCATGGTACTGAGCATCCACAATCCCCACTCGTGAGATTCGAATCCAGGACCAATCTGTCTTGTATGCGAACGCTTAACCTCTAGACCACTGACCTGGCCGGTATCCAACGGTGATAATGTCTAACCCCAACTGATCCACGAAATTGAGTGACACATCCACTATTGTCTTCTGTGAGTTACTATCTAGCAACAGATTCTGTTGAACTCCAATGGTTACTGCTTCTCGCTAGAACTCCAGGAAATACCTCTTGAAGCCAGTTACTGGTAAACATATGTTGATTAGTATCAGGAGGAGTGTGCGAGACTGATATGTCCTGGGTTCGAATCTCGTGAGGCGATATCGTAGATGCGCACTGTTACAGAGGAGTCCCATAGTAAGACGAAACAACCGTCCAGTGCTAACAGGTTTTATATGGTGGTCTAGCTTTGGTTGACTCATGATTTCAACTACTAAATTACTATAATATCCACAAAACCCCTTCTGATATTTACTTTTTACAATACAATGAATTCAAGTTTTCAATTAATTGATAGTTATTACATTTGAAGAGAAATCATTAGCAACTTATAAACTGATTATGAGGGTTGAATAAAGTACATATTTATTATTTTCGATTTCGAGTAACACTACATCCTAATCATATATCTGTTGTTAATCCTAGTTAATTTGACTCGATGAAAATTTCTCATACAAATTGTATTATGATTGTCCCGAAGCATGATTCGTAAAAAACTTTCTCGCCTAATTCGTATGTGTGATGTTCATAACTCTAATCCACCTGACTCTATGAGGCCTCTCACTAGTTGCCGGAACTATGGAGTATAGGGTTTTTCCCGTTTCAGTAGATTTAGTAAACACAAATGCTCAAAACGTGGAGTATGTGGACAAAGGATAGATTTTGCAAACGCAGCAAACCCTGATTGCACTGTCGAATGATATAAAGAATGAATTTTGAATATCTTTTGTCAGAATGGAACTCTCGATACTTACGCAAGTATTTGTTCATTTATGCTAATGATCGTATTATCACTCCACTGTTAGACACTGAATCCGATGTTACCCTGATTTCTTGCTAAATTTGGCATGAACTTGGTCTACAAAGCATTCATTCTACTACCGATTGCATAAAGGATGCATCAGGAATCCCAATTAAAACTGGACTTATCGACTTCATTGTCAAATGTAATGATCTAATGACTGCATCCAAATGTTATGTTACTGATGAATCTTTAAATTTATTGGGTCTTGACTGGATTCCAGAATTGAAAATATTTGATTACCCATTTATTCTTATTTGTAATTCAGATTGAAAAATGTTCGACAATCCATCCAATCTTATTTGTAACCAAGGATCTTCCTATTTTTCTATGATTCACAAATAAATGCAGATGTTTCCTAATGATTGTAAGGATGATCACAAGCGGTGAGCACAAGAGAGAAAATCACCCGGGATAACTTCGAATCGAGACTCACCCAACGGTGTCTCCCCAGCTAAATTAGTGTTCGGAAGGGAGACTCGGACTACATTTGAGGGCATATATCCACAGAGAAGAAAGTCAAAAGTGAGGGGAATTCAAGATCAGTCTCCAAGTGTATTATCAGCATATATACGAAACTTTCGACAATCAGAGCGTGCGTGGGTAACGAGTATCTACTTAAGAAGGGTCAGTGACGTTATATACGAAAATGATGTCCGAGGTAAATGCTTGACGCAACATGTATATATATGTGAGTATTTGCACATTTTGTTCGGAAGCCAAATATACTTCCTCGTCCGCTTTTGTGTTCTCTCTCAAGCAGACAGTTGGGAGGGTGTTAGTGTGTACTATAGTCGTGTATCAATACAAGATTTCGGACACCGACAATCACAAAAGTCATTGACCGTTCCCAGTTTCCCAGTGGGTATCTGAAATTGTGGTTCATTGGCATAAATCCATGTACTTTAAATACTGAGTCATTTATTTTCCAGGTTTATATTGAAATCTTTTGGTGGTAGCCCCATACAATCAGGAAGTATTGACAAATAATTTTTGTAAACTGTAAAATGTTACTAAAATTTCTTTTTATGACATTTCAGTACATTAAGAATTTGTGATACAGATTGGTTGTTCAGAAAGATAATTCGGTGAGACTATAATTTATGGACGACGCCTAAGTGACCTAGGGCTAAATTGGGGTTATAAAGCAGTTTGAAGAATAAAGATTATGATTTACAGTTGATGGTTAAGGTTAGGAATTAGATTTAAGGTTTTTATCACGAACTGATATAAGCTGTAATGCCAAAACTCTAATTAGCCAAATGGAAGAGTGAATTTCGCATCTTTTTGTTGATAAAAATTTCAATATAATTTTATATCAGAAGTGGTTTTGTGGATATGATAGTAATTTTAATAGTTGATACTGATAGGTCATGGGTTCGAATCTCGCAAGTCGGGATCGTAGATGTGCACTGTCACGGAGGAATCCCACAATACGAAGAATCAGTCATCTTGTTCTCCCAAATTTTTCATGATGGTCTAGCTTCAAGTGACTCATGATCTCAACTATTAAAATAATTTTATATGTAAACATTGGCGAATACTCGTAACCAAATGAAGTTGTTTACTTTTTTCGAATCAACATTCATTAATTACAAATATATTGAGTTTTAACCAAATAAAACTGCTGAATTTATTCATTCAATTGGTTGGGACATGTGTTACGAATGCCTGAACACCGATTACCACCACGCTCGATGCTGACTAATGTTGAAGACGGTTGGAAGATAGTTAAAGACGGCCAAACCAAAACATGGTATCAGTTCTTGAAGTCACTAACTTCTAGTCTGAGCCATCTTGGTAGATGCAGACTACTTGGTTGGGGTCCGCATGACTATCGTAACCAGTTGTTGGAGACTCTGGGTGACATGTCTCAGAACTGATCGCAATGGCGTCGGTGTATACACTCTTTGGCTGCCCTTAAACCATGAGGTTAAAATCGCCTCATATATCTCTTTCTACCAACTAATTCTTTCTTCCTGTACTTTGTTCTTATTGCAATCTTTCTTTTATATATTACAACCATCGAAGTAACTACTTCCATGAATTTGATGTTCATCAGGCATATTTGTGCCTGGTCCTCCGTTGTAGCTGACTGACTAACTGACTTATCACTATGACATAAATTAATTATCAAATATTCTTTATGAATTAAACAAAATAATCTGTTGTCAAAGGGCTCAGATTATTATACATTTCATTTATCAAATACTTTCTTTTCTCAGTTTTCATCATTATGTTACTAAGACTTAATAATTGAATTCTTACCTAATAGAATGTTTCATTAATCAGAACACCAAGATACCTAACCTACCTACCTTCTATATTGTGTTATAAACCTAAATCAACACTTTCAATTCGATTTCATTGGTTATTGTTAACTTCGAAAGGAAAGCATATATCCTATGAATGTACGTACATCTTATATGATGATTTTAATGATCCGATCTAAAGTAAAACCATATCACTGTACCGATTCGATCATAACTTAAAGAGGTATTTTTCGATTACACACCTTCATATCTTTAGAATATGATTATTGCCTATTAATTATGCAAGAATTTCTCTTAGACCAACTTAGGTTTTTCATATTTTCAGTTAACTCATGATCTGTCGTCAGTCGTATATCTATGTCGTTTGATCATGATTATATGATCATCAACTAAACTGTTCCACCTAAACAATTAAATTAAAGCGTTATTATGCACAACTTTTATTTCGTAGGTTAAAATGCATAATATGGCTATGAGATGGTGGCGAAGATTTGTAGCTCAGGTGGATAAACTTTGATGAAGTTTTGTTCTCCAAGCTGAATGGTTTGATCGTGGAGCTTTTTATCGTTCTTGTAAACGACATCGTTATCATTTCTACCTGAAGTTTCTACTGATGATATCGTTCAGAAAGAAGAACAATGAAAGCTTTAATGACTAAATCATCCAGCTTAGAGAACAAAACTTCATCAAAATAATGGTATGGCTAATTATACAAATTACTCATAATTATAAAACTTGAACACATTTATATAAATCTATAAGACTTACTTATAAATACAATAAAAACTTTCAATAGAGTATGATTGTATATTACATTGTTAAACTGGATTTAAGTATTAATTATGATGAGAGTTTTTCAATATCTTATTGGTTATTGTCGAATTTTCCCTAATGGGCAAGTTATTTGATTGGTTGAAAAATGATCTGATTATCATATAGCTTTTATTAAACATTATTTAATCATTTTCAATGATTGAGATCATGAGTCCATTGAAGTTAGACCAGATTAGGGATTCAAACTCTGAACATTGATCGTCTCACAATAGGAAACGTGCCTAAAGTTCCTTTATATATTATTCACTAACAAAATAAATGTAGACAGACTATAAACTGTATGTATAACATTTAACTAAATCTGGACACTGTACTTTTATTTACTTTTACTTTTACCAACTTATTTAAAGACATTGGCGGTAGACTTTATTACCTTGATAATAGATCCAAGGAGTCCAGTTGTTGTGAGATAGTAACTCACTGAAGACAATAGTGGATGTGTCACTCAATTTCGTGAATTATTTGGGGTTAGACATTAACACCGTTGAATAACGACCGTCCAGTCCTTTCAGGTTTTTCATAGTGATCTAGCTTCAATTGACTCATGATCTCAACCATTGAAATAACTATAATATCCACATAAACCCTTCTGATGCTATTTAATCAGTTCAATATAATAGTAGTTAGTTTACTAATTATTATAATTATTACTGAAATTAAGGTGAATTATCACTTTCTTGACCAATTAAAAGTAGTTTCCAGGTATTTTAAATAAACCTAGGGAATCGATGTACAAATGATAATTAATTCTTTATATTTACAACCTTGGAACTGTTTAACTCCGCCTGTAGCTCTTGTAGAGTTACTGTAGGTCCCACGTCCGAGTAAAGGAGGAGGGTTGGGCATGGGGTTAGCGACCCCATACCGTAGAAACTAACGTTCGAGTTCCTTTGAAAGCCACGAAGCCGATGCCCCTTTTAACAACCAGAGCAACAATTTTTATAGGTACATGGAACTTTCGGACAATATGGGAGACCGGAAAGACCAGTCAAATAGCAACGGAAATGAAGAGATACAAGTTGGCAGTACTGGAAATCAGTGAAACTCATTGAACCCAAGCTGGACAACAAAGGCCAAATACGGGAGAGATGCTATTATACTCCGGCTACGGAGAGGAAAACGCCCCACACACTCAAGGAGTTGCTCTAATGCTGCCCAACGTAGCACGAAATGCACTTGTAGGAAGGGAATCTCACGGATCCAGAATCATCAAACCATCATTCAAAACAAAGAAGAAAGGGATTACAATGAATATTATCCAATGTTATGCACCTGTCAATGATAGCAACGAAGACATTAAAGATCAATTCTACGAGCGGCTGCACTCAATCACAGAGAAATGCATAAGAAAGGACCTCACCATTTTGATGTGAGATCTAAACGCCAAAGTCGGAATAGACAACATCGGATATGAAGATATCATGGGACGACATGGATTGACTGAGAGAGAGAAACGAAAATGGGGAAAGATTTGAAAATCTGTGTGCATTCAACAAATTGGTCAAAGGAGGCACAATATTTCCACACAAACGTATACACAAAGCTACATCGATCTCACCGGACCACACTACAGAGAACCAGATAGATCATATCTGCATCAATAAAAAGTTCCGAAGGACAATGAAAGATGTGAGGACCAGAAGACGAGCTGACATAGCTTCAGATCACCACCTAGTTGTGGCCAATTTAAAATTGAAGCTAAATAAGAACATGACAAACAACACTACAAAGGTTCAATAGAGCCTTCCTTCGAGATACTGACAAACTCAATGAATTCAAGATAGCTCTCAACAACAGGTTCCAAGCCTTACAAGATCTACTGAAGGAAGAAGAAACTTGTTGTAACGTTTGTGTGTGACTGCAGGGTTTCATAAGCAGCGTTTATTTATCGATCGATTACAGTGTACACGTAGAACACGTAAGGACGACCTAGTGCCCTGATTGGCCCTGCTTCACTGTCTGTCCTAGCCAGTTGAGTCAAGAACACAAGTCACAGCCTCTGAGTTATGAATCATTATATTTCAAACATACTTTGTTTATATACCAGTCAAGCATACCACATCGTACCATAAAATAAGAAACAACATTTACAAAATATTTAACAAGTGAAATAAACATCGACCAATAGGAAATGTACATTTAATGTCCAAGGCCACCGTAGACTTAACACGATAATTATTGGTATATTTTTCCGACTATCCTAACAAAACTACTATGGAGGACAACTGGAAAGGTATCAAAGAAGCATTAACTTCAACGTGTCAAGAGGTTCTCAGTCTAAAGAAATACCATCATAAGGAATGGATCTCTACAGAAACACTGGACAAGATCAAAGAAAGGAAGAACAAGAAGGCAGCAATAAACAACAGCCGAACACGAGCAGAGAAAGTCCAAGCACAAGCTGAATACATAGAAGCAAACAAACAAGTGAAGAGGAGCATTAGAGCCGACAAGAAGAAATACGTGGAAGAACTAGCAACGACGGCAGAAAAAGCTGCTAGAGAAGGAAATATGAAACAGCTTTACGATACAACGAAGAAACTAGCAGGGAAATACAGTAAACCAGAGAGACCGGTCAAAGCCAAAGAACGCAAGCCAATCACTGAAACTCAACAACAACGAAACAGATGGGTAGAATACTTCGAGGAACTCTTGAATAGCCCGACTCCAATGAATCCACCGAACATCGAAACAGCACACACAGATCTACCTATAGATGTCAATCCACCAACGAAGGAAGAAATCAGAATGGCCATCAGAAAAATCAAGAACGAAACCAGCAGGACTTGACAACATACCAGCTGAAACACTGAAGTCAGACATCGAAGTAACTGCAAACATGCTTTACCTTCTATTCAAAAATATTTGGGAGGAGGAACAAGTGCCGATGGACTGGAATGAAGGACACCTCGTCAAGATTCCAAAGAAAGGAGATCTGAGCAAATGTGAAAACTACAGAGGCATTACATTATTGTCTGTACCAGAGAAGGTCTTTAACAGAATGTTGCTGAACCGGATGAAGGATGCAGTAGACGCCCAACATCGAGATCAGCAAGCTGGATTCCGTAAGGATCGGTCGTGCACAGACCAAATTGCAACACTACGGATCATAGTCGAACAATCAGTTGAGTGGAACTCGTCACTATACATCAACTTCATTGATTATGAAAAGGCATTTGACAGTGTAGATAGAAGAAGGTTATGGAAAGTTCTTCGATACTACGGAGTTCCTGAGAAGATTATCAGCATTATCCGGAACTCATACGATGGACTACAGTGCAAGGCCGTGCGTGCAGGACAGTTGACAGATGCATTCCAAGTAAGGACCGGAGTCAGATAAGGCTGTTTACTCTCTCACTTCCTCTTCATCCTCGTGGTCGACTGGATTATGAGGACCTCGACATCTGAGGGAAAACACGGAATACAATGGACAGCTCAGAACCAATTAGACGATCTGGACTTCGCAGATGACCTAGCCCTCCTATCACGTACACACGAACAGATCCAGATGAAAACAGCCAGTGTAGCAGCAGTCTCTGCATCAGTAGGCCTCAGTATACACAAAGGGAAAACCAAGGTCCTCACATTCAAAGCAGAGAACAGCAATTCAATCACACTTGATGGCGAAACTCTGGAAGATGTAGAGTCCTTCACATACCTGGGAAGCATAATCGATGAACAAGGAGGTTCAGATGCAGACGTAAAGGCGGAGATTGGCAAAGCAAAGGCCGCATTCCTACAATTGAAGAACATATGGAACTCAAAAGAACTGTCAATCAATATCAAAGTAAGAATCTTCAATACGAACGTCAAGGCAGTTCTACTGTATGGAGCTGAAACTTGGAGAGCTACAACAACCACCATCAAGAAGGTACAAGTATTTATAAATGGTGATCTACGCAAGATACTCAACATCCACTGGCCGGATACCATCAGCAACAGCCTTTTGTGGGAAAGTACAAAACAGCTTCCAGCTGAAGAACAAATTAGGGAAAGATGATGGAAATGGATAGGACATGTATTACGCAAATCGTCAAACTGCATCACGAGGCAAGCCCTAACATGGAATCCTGAAGGGAAGCGAAAAAGAGGAAGGCCAAAGAACTCATTACGTCGGATATGAAAAGGATGAATAAAGACTGGAAAGAGCTGGAAATGATTGCCCAAGACTGGGTTGGACGGCGAATGCTGATGAGCGGCCTATGCTTTTTCACGAAGAGTAACAGGTGTAAGTAAGTAAGTATGTAAGTTGGAAGTGTTTGGAATTGTAGCAGTTTTGTATAATGCTTCAGAAATTAAGATGATTTCTTGTAGATCTCAAATTTACAGGTTATAAGCTGAACAACTGAAGTTTAGAATCTTTTCATATTAGATAAATTTTAGGTGTCCTCTATTTATATAATTTTTGTAATGGGATGTATCCCTATATTCATATCGTATGCCAATCGATGTACTTTTTAATAGTCAAATACCATTAAATTCTAAAGTTGACAATTAAAAACTCAATTGATTAGATGTAAAACTACCTAACAGTTTGCATAATATCAATGTACACTGATGTGTAGAAGGCGTTCAACTCGAAAGTATCAACTACAGATTTGATCAGGAACTGATTGTAATGGTGTTGTTCAAAGGAGATGTAAAATTAATAGAATAATGTTAAAGGATACTTGTCATATCTCACTTACTTACTTACTTACTTACTCCTGTTACCCCTCATAGAGGAGCATAGGTCTCCCACAAGCACTTCCCACTCTCCATATCACTTTTGAAGAAGTACTAACGACTTCCAGTCACATTTCAACCTAGAAAAAACTGTTTAGTTAATTGTTGTTTATATAGTATGTAAAATGACTGACATATCTAAGTAAATCTCCAGATAAAATTGATTGATAATGAAATTCATTAATGGGATAGACACATGAAATATGTATTATATCTTGTCAAACAGGCCTTACTGTTGAGATGACGAAAATAGTTGATAGCTCATGAGAATTGTCTTAGTGGAATTAGATTCTTTGAGCTGAGTGATGTTATCATGAAACGTTTAATATCTTCCTAGACAACATTATTACTTTTCAGCAGATGTCCAACAGCTAGTTCTGTCAATCTTTGATGAGAAGCAGTGAGATCCATTCATTTCTGACTAATAAAAATGAAACAACTAGCTGATAAACTTAACACCAATTCATCGATTGTACCAATATGTGTTGACAATTGTGAAAAGGCTAAAATCTTGTATAGGGGGGTGACATAAAGAAGAACAGAGAATTTCTAGAAGCATAGTACTCAGTTCAGTAAGAAATTAATAAGTAAATTGAAATAAACCTAAATTACCAATCAAAGTAAAGACTGTCAAACAAAAACTGTAAACTATAGTAGAACAATTTTTAACAACATCATATCCTATTTAGATTTGACAAATAAGCTGTTAGATAATGGTAGAGCAATCCAAATACCTCACTTCTTTCTGAGACTTGTGTCAACAGTGGTTTCTCCAAAGATAAGAAAGGACTCACAATTAAAACAACCATTTAGAGGAACAAAATTTCAGCAAAGGTTTTACTATGAACAAAAACAGGCAATTATTATTAAGGTTGATTATACACTAACTGGACACTACGTTTATACTGAAACATCTCTACAATGATTGAAAACCAGCGTTAAATGAGATGATTTTACACTCATTATAGTAACCAAACATCTCATGAATACCTTGCAATCTTTCAAAGTGATTAATAAGCAGTCAAACTCCAGTCTTCGGAAGTTTGCTGAAACTGTTGCTATCAGGCGTCAAAAACCTGATTTATATGTTCAAAAGGAGATGGTTGTTAATCTTTCCTTGCCTTGATGATAAATATTCCGGTAATACTACAATTTATAGACGACTGTTGAGCAACACCAGAATGACCTTGGGATGTTCACCTTCGTACCAGGGTTAAATGAGGCTTATAGAATAGTATGAAGGAATTAGTATTAAAATTTACGGTTGAATGTTAGGGTGAGGAATTAGATTTAATGTTTTCATCATGAACTGATATCAGATATAATGCCAAAATGGTATTTAACCAAATCAATGAATGAATTCCGCATCAAAATCCAAGATCTGCTATCTTAAATGTGATTGGTTCGTGCATTAATTATAGTCTCGCTGGTATTCGTTCATTGCATCTTAAAAACTTCTTTCAACTCTTAGTTAATCACATTATTACGTCTTTTTATTCCGACTATCTATCAGACTAGTAAAGTTATTTTATGAACTGAACTTTATTCATTCTTACTAGCCTTTACTCATTATGTAATCACTTGTCTCTAGTCCTTTGAACTCCTTTTACAATCAACGTTGTAAAATTTTCTTTTACATAAGGGATGGATTTACAATGCTTTATTTATTTATTTACTTACTTACTTACTTACTTACTTACTTACTTACTTACTTACGCCTGTTACTTCCAGTGGAGCATAGGCCGCTGACCAGCATTCTCCAACCCACTCTGTCCTCCACCTTCTTTTCTAGTTCCATCCAATTCTTGTTCATTTTTCTCATGTCTATCTCCATTTCTCGGCGTAATGTGTTCTTTGGTCTTCCTCTTTTCCTTTGACCTTCAGGATTCTATGTGAGGGCTTGTCTTGTGACGCAGTTGGGTGCTTTCCTCAATGTGTGTTTTATCCACTTCCAGCGCTTCTTCCTGATTTTTTCCTCCACTGGGATCTGGTTTGTTCTCTCCCACAGTTGGTTGTTGCTAATAGTGTCCGGCCAACGGATCCGAATTATTTTGCATAGACAAATGTTAATAAACACTTGTATTTTCTGGATGATGGCTTTCGTAGTTCTCCAGGTTTCTGCCCGATACAGTAGAACTGTCTTGACATTTGTATTGAAAATTCTAACCTTGGTGTTGGTTGACAGTTGTTTTGAGTTCCAGATGTTCCTCACTTGTAAATATGCTGCTCTTGCTTCACCGATCCGCGCTTTCACATCTTCATCGGACCCACCATGTTCATCGATGATGACAATACTTTATTTAGTCTGTCAAACTTATTTACACCCTTACCATACTAGACTGATGTGTCTTCTAAATAACTTCCAACTAAACTCTTTTAATGTAAATAATCTATAGCGATTTTGTAATTATGATTTTAAACATAACAGGTTGTAAGCAGCTGATGAGGATGAAACGAAATTAAGTGAATTTATGTTATTCTTTTTGTTTTTGCTTAGTTTTTATTCGTATTCTGTGAATATATTTAGTGACCATATATCTGACTTCAATTAGATCGTATGAATGATGATTGTCGAAATGTACATTCTTGTTAACCTCGTATATATATAATTATCGACTTAACTCAAGTTAGTGAATAAACGAAGTTAAAACAAGTCAAATACGAGAATAGACTTTTGAATACGTATATTTTGTACAATCATTAATCCAAGAAGACGATCACATGAACAAAGTGAAATGAAATGATGTACAATGGGGAAAGCAAATGACCCAACTCCTATTTCATCAAGAATTAATCAATTATTATAGGTAGATAAAAAATAAGTTATTAAAATGTAATGAATAAGATAAGAAATGTACATACAGATATGCTCATATCAAAGTTTATAAGTGAATAATGAACATGATCAAAAAAGAATAAATCTAAATCAACTTGTCCAAAATCAAAAATAAGTTAATATGAACTTAACATAGTAACTAACACTATAGATATGATCGTTCTAAATAAAAACAACAAAATCTATTCACTATCCTACTTCTACTTTCATAAATGTTTGCATGAACTAAAGTGATTATTCTAATTGCCACAGTTACGAAATTTTTTCACTTTACCTTTTTAGTCATTTAACGTTAATTTTTCTTTTTTTTTCTTTTTTTTGGTTCTTTTTCTTTTGGTTTTCATCTGACCCTTTAGAAATAACGCTGATAGATGATGTTCACTGATTCGTTGGTTAAGTTGCCTGGCAGTACGCTCAATATAGGGATCTCCATAAGTCAATTTATTATTCTATGATAAAGGGATTTATACATGAAAACGTATTTATGAGGATCAAATTCATTTATAAACAAACAAACAAACAAACGAACAAAACTCGATTTTTCAACGAATAAAATAAACGTTTTTTAGAATAATTAAAAACATTAAGAAAGAAAAATTGTAATCCATATTGATTGATGTGAATCCACCCAAATTAATGAATCGAATTGAGTAAATGAAGAATAAACAAGCAAACAACCAACCAAAGAAAAAGAAACTAAAGCAACTCTAAATTGTAATTGATGTAATTCTGATTGTTCTTTGTTTGTTTGTTTGTTTTCTATGATGATGATGATGACGACGATGACGATATATAGTCCATGTTATGATTAATAACTGATCAAATAATAATTCATTATTATTCAATTAACGGATTAGAATATTAAAAAGTAAATTGTCATTACTTGTTGTTTGAATGTTTATTGTCTTGGCTGTTTTCATGCTAATTTTTGTATCTGGTCGTCGCTCATTGTTATTTCGGAAAAACGCTGATCACTTGGAATGAGGGACCTATGCGATTCCCACGACGCCAAATTAAGTACACAAAGACTGGTATAAGTAATGATTCATTAATCCCAAAACACGACGACGACGATTCCAGTAGAAAATACACTCATTTATATATTGATTATACACCCATTTTGATTAATAATTAAGAAGAAATCACATATATGAAAAATATTCCAGCATATCAGGAATATATAAGATTTGTATGTTTTATAGTAACCAAATGTATTTGGACAAGCAGTTATAGAATCTCTTAGTAAAATCTGAGAATCATACAGTAAATACTTCATTTGCAAAATGTAACTCACTTGTTTCAAACTTGATCGTTCCTTCATTTCCACACTGATCACTCTTTATTCTCATTCTCTTTTCTTTGATTTTCTTAACTGTCTGTCATTAGGCATTTCATTTTCGATGATACATACTACTTATATCTGTTGATATCAGCAGCATACACCATAATATCAAGAAACAATAATAAATTATGGATTATTATGCACGAAACTAAAAAAAATAAACTTGACATGAAATAGTCAGCCATACTTTAACTGTTCAGTAAAGTTGACAGTTAAGTCGTCTTACAGAACTTATTCAACAACCTACTGTGGGAGAGAACAAACCAGATTCCAGTGGAGGAAGAAATTAGGAAAAAGCACTGGAAGTGGATAGGACATACATTGAGTCACAAGGCAACTCCTCAAATGGAATCCTCAAGGACAAAGGAGAAGAGGAAGACCAAAGAACACATTACGCCGGGAAATGGAAATAGACATAAAAAAATGAACAAGAATCGGATGGAATTAGAAAGGAATGTCCAGGACAGAGTGGGTTGGAGAATGCTGGTCGGCAGCCTATGCTCCATTGGGAGTAACAGGCGTAAGTTAAGTTAAGTTAAGACTGAGTTTATTGATTTACTATCATAAGATAATACAGATGAATTCATGAATAAATTAAGAACCATTTTAACATTCTTATGGAATTAATGAATCAGAA